TTGATTGTGATCGGGAAACACCAGGATGTGTGAAGAGGAAGTCGATCGAGCAACACCCAAATCGCAACGAAACGAACCGAAATGTCTCGGGTTTTTGTTTCGTTGCGACAAGACCGAAACGCAATCTACCGCAATCGAAACCATGGCCGAAACTCCTAAATCCCTCAGCGAGTTGCGGTGCGACAGTACAAACCGCAACCGAAACAAAACCAAAACGAAACCGAAATAAATTTCGGTATTTGGGGCATACTTGGTCAAACTACACGATTTAGGCGCACACAAGCTTTATAAGATGAATTTGTAAGAAACCCAACAAAGATGAGTAAAAAATGAGGCTTGATGCCTTTTTGAAGTGAGATAGAAAATGACCTGAACACGGACAAGTAAAAACAATAAGGGTGATAACTATTTGAGACAAGACAGAAGATAGATCAAACACAGACGAGTAAAAAAGAATCAATACCTTTTTGAAATGAGATAGAACTAATGAACTATCAGGACTTTGGGTTTCTCCTCGAGTTTTTCTTATCCTTAATTTTTTTAATCTCTGATAGTGCCTCGTTATATTCATCTGGAACCTTGATATCCTGACCGAGCCATTGATGGCAACCCACAGCCCGCTCAATAGTACGCGGTGCCAGCCCTCGATCTGCAGTGGCAATCCTTCCAGCCGCAGAGAAAGTACGCTCGCATGCGCACGATGTGGCAGTACAAGCTAGATAATCACGAGCGATTCGGCTCACCACTGGATACAACTCATGATTTTCCTAGAACAGTTGGAAAAGCCATGTCTGGTTAGTCAAAGCACAGAAGTTGGTGGAAGAATTGGTGTACATACCTTCCACCATGTGAGTGGGTGAACACCTTTTTGTGCAATGTTTTTTCTATCTAGATACAGGTTGAGCTCTGTGTATGTGTCGGGTGTCATGTCATCAGCTGAATCATCGCTGAAGTCGTTGAGGTCGGTTTGGGAAGTTGACGGAACGGAACTTGAGGTAAGTGTAGCTGGGGTCTTCTTGCTTGGGTTTTGAGTCAATTCATGTGTAAAGGCCGCTTCGAGTATATCTCGAACCCTTCCCACGTGATCGGGATAATATTTGCTGAAAAATCGCAGGCGATAGCGTGGGTGCATGGCTGTTGCGATGACTAGTGCATCACACTCAAGGGCTTCATTTTCATATGACTTGATCTTGTGCATCATCGTATCGATTGCCAGTGAAAGCTCGGGATATGAGGACCCGTGTTCATCCTTTGAAGCCTGCAAACGTTTGAGGATATTGATGTATTCAGGGAGGACGTGAAAACCTGTTGAATGATTTCCTTCCATTATCAAAGTTGTTGTTTTGAAAATCTAATTGTTGAAAGCATCAGTTATTGGATCAAACTGATTTTATGTGAAAAAAGGCACCTTCAAGACATCAAGTAACGCCTCCACCGCACTCCATTCTTCATCAGAGATACGAAGCCCATTGTAGACCTGATCCTTCTTATCTTTCTTGCAATCGAGGGCGAGAAGCTTGTTGATTACCTGCAATTTGTGGAATTTAATATTGATACACAGATAGAAAAAAAAATACATACGTTTTGAGCATCACAAGCTCGTTGCCAGCTGTCTAACTTGGAGTTCCATCGAACACCATATCCATATATAAGCATTAGCCCTTTGTATAATAGATTTGAAGCTACAGTTTCGTATTCTCCTCGCTTTGAAGGTGATGAGGCCACTCCTTGGCTTACAAGTTCGATCTGAGTGTGTTTTAGTAATTGGAAGCATAGTGAGCTATGAAAACAAACGGTGAAAAAGAATCACTAACCTTCTTCACTCCACTGGTAACCAAACCCCAAGTCGGTTTGGGCACAACATCATCAGCGGGTAGATCATCCTCACTGTCTTCTACTGTTACTCGTTCCAAACCCCTTCGGTCATCCTCATTTTCTGACTCGGATGAATCTGCTTCCTCGTTTCCAGTTGCTTTCTCCGGGACAGCTGTGTTGATTTGGATGGTGGGAATTGGCATACGAATATCTGGTTGAGTGGTGGGCTTTACATGTCCAGACTTGAGTTCGAGTTTGTCTAATCCATGCTTGACTGCAAGGGCAAGCTTATGACAAAAACATCTGATGTGATTAACTTGAGAGTTCCAATACAAAGGATTGTTTGGGTCGTCAAAGAACATACGCTCAAGCTCGCGAGCAAGAAAGTTATTACTTGCGGCTGAGTCCGTAGTTTGAGCTAACATGTAGATATGCAAAAAAAAGTAAGATTAAATTAGTTACAGTAAATCATAAAGATATATTATGAGACTTATCTTGAAATGAAGTCCATGTCGTATGAGAAAAGATCCAACTGGGCGAGCAAGTAAAACACCATAATGATCCCATATGATCCTCTTGAGTGTCAAGTGAACCGTCTTGAACTCCCAATCATCGTTTATGTAAGATGCTGAGACTCCAAGAAATGCATATTGACTTCCCTTGGTTGTCCAACCATCATGGATCAGACAGAACCGACTCGGATTATTCTTGAGGATTGAAATCACCTCGTCCTGGAGAGATCGAGCAAGACTTTTGGCTGACTTTGAAACCCATGTTGGGGATCGGAGTATAGCTTGTGGGTTGGCCCACAGGAGCGCTGCACCCAGTTCGTCATCATCAATTCGGCTCCATGGTAGGGCATGGAGAAGAATCCACAAGACCATGATTTTATTGAGGGTTTCGACAGTAAATTTGACGTAGGAAGCAAGTGTGGACTGTGTTGTTTTTGAAGTTGTGGGCTTGTTTGCCTCTAGCCAGGTTGGTGGACAAATAACACCGTTTCGGATTGCTACATCTCGCTTAGGGCAAGGCTTACGATTTTTTTTGCCATCTCGATGAGTTTGTAAGTTGTAGTGGTTGGATTCTCCATCCTTGTATTCGCCACGACACCACTTGCATGTATACACAAGAACCTCTTTCTCTAACTCAACTATATCACCAGTCTCCTGTTCCATGAAAATGGCAGTTAGCCGAGCCCAAAACAGTGGGAGCATTGACAACAAACTTACTGGGTCTTCTTGCTTATATTTTTCCATTACTGCTCGTGGATTTGCTTCGTAATATTCAAATACCTGTTTAACCTTCTCTGTTCGCGCTTTCTGATTTGCCGCCGAGTCTTTTGACTCATCCTCACGGTCTGACTTTTGTTCTGTATCCATACCCTGAGGTACAATTATAACCTAGTTATTGATCATATGAGAGGCACATGAAATGTCTATCAGTCTGAAGTGGATGCAAAGAGACAGTGAGGCTAATCAAGAACATACTTTTTGAAGCGGAGCCAGGCGCTTTTTCCTTTGAGGAGGTCCAGCAGCTTTTGCACGTTGTTTCTTCTGAGCAGCTTGAGAATCAGCATGCCCTCCTGAGGAGGGGCGTCGGCGTTTACTGGGCTGAGCGCTGGTTGAAGCTCCACCTTGACCATTAGTAGATGTTGTGGGATTTGGACCGGGATCTGGAATGATCTGAACTTCATCTTCGGAGCTATTTTTTTCACCAGCTGATTTAGAGGGTGAGCGGTCCTGCAAGTGAGTTCCGGGGTTGGGGTTGGGACTCAAAGAGTTGTGATCAAGTGATCCAATAACAAGTGATGGATCTCCTTTAGATGGAGTGCGTGGACGGAGGCTACGGTCACTTTGTGGAAGCTGCAAGGATGTTGAAGTGGGGCAAGTTGTTTCACTTGCATCAGAAATGGGGGGAACCAGAGATGACATGGATATAAATTTTGAATAAGATCAAGAATTTTTGGAGGAAAAGTAAATATTGATTGGACAAGAAAGAGATTGATTTCAAGAACCGGCCGGCTCCTTTCTAAAAGATATAACTTATGACCCTCACTCTTACCACAAGAGATGTCTAAAAATCTGTTTAATCACACTACGTAAGTTGTTCTAACAGTGTTATCTAGTGCGTGAAATATCCAATAATTGTCATTGTCAATGTTGCTTTTCTTTTCTTGTATACGTCTCGAAATGGAATTTCCATTTCAATGTTTGAACACATTAGTTCAAACCTGTTCAAACTACTCTTGCCTCTAAATTCCATATACATACACATATGATTGTGAACTGTACAGTACACAATCATGAACCACCCCAGACAGTTCACGATCGTGAACTGACCCAGCTACGTTTTTCCGAAACCAATCGCAACATATTTCGTTTTGTTGCGATTGCGTTTCAAGGATTTCAGTTTCGTTTCGGTTGAACCGAAATCTACTTTCTGATTTGGGTGTTTCGGTGCGAAATAACCGCAACTAAATTGCGGTGGTTTTAAGGCCTTTAAATCGCAACGAATCGAACCGCAACCGAAAAATGGTTTCGGTGCGATTTGGGTGTTGGATCGAGTGATATCGGTGCGGTGAACCAAAGATAGTATGATCTAACTTTACCAAAGTGACAGAAAGGTCGTACGGGTCTTCCATTTGCGGTGATGTTTGGGTGTTTGTGCAACGAACAAATTTATACTATCCCGGCCAAGATTTGGACGTTGCGTAACCCATACAGCCTCTTTACGCGGTGCGGTGGCTCGTATCTTTTCCCACACAACGTGGATACTGTATTGGTTGTTTTACACGGCCCGGTGGAGATGCTCTTAGCCAAACTTCAACAAACGTATCCAACCTTTTCGATCATCTATCCGACGTCTCAAACCTTTTGGATCCTCTATACGGCATGGTTGTCAGGATATTTTCCGCGCTACTCTAGCAAGTTGAATGTATTCGCCATTTGACTGGACCTTAATTACAATATTCGATTTTCACGCTAGTCACACCTTCAACTTAATATCCAATCTGGTCGACCTAATTGGGCATTCAACTTCCCGATCTGGCACATTGGATGTCTGTCTGGCCCCAAAGGGTCTTCCATACTTTCACATGGGCAATGTAAGACTCAATACAAAAACAGTAAGTTATATTTACTTATTGGTAAGGACAACCAGACTGTCTGACCTTCATCGCACTCTTGATGACGTCGAAACGTATTCTACGTGGTTTGAATAACCCTGCCCGAATTCCCAAACCAGCCACACCTTTACAAGAACAGCTGCAAGCACGCCGCGAGCGAGACTTACGAGCTACAGCTAATTCCACCGCGGCGATCCTCAAAAAGCTTAAAGATGAAGAAGAACCGCATCGAGATCTGCATGACCAAGACATGGCCGAAGGCCAAGTCTTGAACGACGTTGAGGGGGCCGACGAAGCAGACGAACCACAAGATGAGGATTTCGGCGAGGAGGGAGATCTCCGTCGATTTATGCCACATCCTGACCAGGTCGAACATCCTCAACCTGTGGACCCTATTATCGCCGCTTTGAGAAGAGACCAGCATTTAGCGGATCGATTGAGTCACGAGAACGAGTGGATGTGGCAGTATGCTGTTATGTTGCCTACGTTTCTGCGATGTAAGATGGAAACGTCCAATTGGGGGAATGAAGATAGATGGAACAAAGATTTACGGCCAACATGCACCTGTGTAATGCAGACCGAGCGCAATGTCGACCTGGTGGATTTAACTAGTAAGCTGAGTATTGCCGTTCAGTATAGTTTGTAGTAACAACTTACCACAGGATATTAAATTGTAGCACGCCGAAGAGTCAAAATCAGTTTTTGCAAGAACTGTGATCTCTCGGATCCTACCAGGCTGCTGCAGATGGGCTACATGGCAGCTTCACCATCAAAACCGCGAACGGCCTTTTCCATACGCCTTCTCATTCACCACCACAGCCAGTGGGTCCGATACGCTGTACCTACGAAATCGTTCTGCGAAGGATTAGACGAAGCTCTTGATTCGCACAACCCGGTGATTTTAACCAGTCGTGGGCAAGTAAGTTCAGTCAAACCTGTCAGAGCTCTACATACGATTCTGACTAACCCACAGCCTCGCGACTGGCGAGCGCCTTTTACCGTTTCGGTTGATGCATATAGGGCATTAATCAATCAAATCCGCGAACTGGAATTCCAAAAACTTCAACTCACCGAACTAGGAAAACTTGCTGCCAACTGCCCAAAATGTTTTGGGCCACCGGTTGGCAATCCAAGACCGGAAGAAGCCCATGTCATAGTATGTCTTGATGGCAATTTCCAGCATAAACGACACGCCAAAGCAAGCGTTCCCATACCTGGATCTCGACCTCCTCGTCCAGCAATTTTTCTGGACCCAAAAATTGCAGAAGCGAAGGCCAGATTCCTACAAAATGGGCCCCCAATTGACTGGGAAAACGTAAGTTGTCAATAATCAAATACAATATCAAACAATTCGTTCTACTACACTGAACGAATTTATAGGATGAATGTACGGAGGCACATACTACTGCGAATGACGTTCGAGGTAAAGGTCATTTCAAGAACATGGACGAGTCAGGTTTGCTAGGTATGGCATGTAGGCACGATCATGTCCTGAAGATGATCAATCTAATCCAAACAGGTGAAAAGTACGTCGCACTTACCGAATGGAACCTTTGTTAGAGATGTCTGATATGGCGCATGACGATTTGTAGAAGTCATTATGCGCTAGCACTTATCCAGTGGCTACTGGACTTATTCGCAAACGATCGTGATGGTATTACCAGTCTCGCAATCCTCTACGACATCGGTTGTAATTTGGACAAGACCATCAAGAAAGTAAGGACAAATATTCCATCAGTATTAAATAGGATTTAATGTGCTGACCTGGCTTTCGTAAACGCTCTTAGAGAAGGGTGTTTACAGGTGATGCGCAAGCGGCACAGGTCAAACTAGGTACGGCCTTATTCCACGCCTACGCCCACAACTGGGGTTGTCAGCTGAAGTATAATCCACGCCTGAATCGTGGATGGGGTAAAAGTAATGGGGAAGGTCTTGAGCGTGTCTGGTGGAAACTGGCGCCACTAGTATCTGTTCTTCGGTATGCGACTAAACATCACCGGATGGTGAGTTTGGACCTGTGGACCAACCATCGAAACGAGGTATTGCGCAAACCCGCTGGTAAGTCCAATGGAGTAACGACGTCATGGGAAGACGATCCAGAGGGTACATTGACCCTGATTACCCCCTACAGCTTCTTATCTGATTATCCAAACCAAAAAGTATCTTGCTGAGCTACAGGTCGCACGGGAAACTATTGCGAATATTAGTCAACAGAATCCAGCGCATAATAGGGCATACCTGCAAACGCAGTGGGAACGTCAGCGCGAGTTACAGCTTAATGCTATCAATGTAAGGTCTAAGGAGAAGCGTGCGCGCCTGGAGGTTCTGATCAAGCTTGAAGAAGACCTTTTGGAAGCACGGCAAGTCTTGACTTCTGATAATTCCATATTTCATCATCATCATATTTACATTACTAACCTACATACATGGTCCAGTCAGCAAATGAGGGACATGGACGCAGCTAATGATCCTATTCGAACCGCTGAGCAACGTAATGCCCTGCTTGACCTGCCTAGAACGCTTGTCGAACTCGAGGAAAAGATCCAAGAGGTAGCAGATGAAGTTGGCAATACTGAGCTGCTGAATGCTCGTCGACGTGGAAGTAAGTTTAATTGCTTAATACCTTCGTTTTCATTGTTCACTAACTTATGTGTGATGGGTCGTATCAATTTCACACAGATGACCGAGTGAAAGCTGTCCTGACAGTACAGGTTGCTTTAGGCTTCTTGTACGAGGCCAAATTTGGTGCAGAACAACAGCAAGTGGACGCGGGGAGAAGGACACGTCAGTACTCAATTGTTCCTCAATGCTGAGTGACCATTGAGTGAACCTCGCTGACCCTATATAACTTCGAACGAAGGTGCGACTCAACAGCCAAGAAATGAGCAACTTCGGACCAAGAAGCGGGCCTTACTGAAGAAGAAGCTCAATACGTACTTAAGGCATGCGGCGCGGTACAATGCGCAATATCGACCGGTACCGCGTTTGTTAGAGCCAACCTTTGACGAAGTGGTGGCTATGGATATGCTTCATCCCTTTTGGGACGAAGCTGCTCTGAATCACCCAGATGAGCCATGGGCGTCTTGCCAGATTACCAAAGATGGTATTGTGGCCCTTAGAAGTGAGGTGTCGTCTGAAGAAGAGATGCGGCGGCTGGGTCGCGAGGTTAGACAGATGATGGGTTGGGGAATCGACTATCAAAGACGTTTGGAAGCAACCAAGCCCCACGAGGGAAATGGTAAGTATGTTCACATCATTATACTTATAAACTTGAACTGATAACACCTCTGTACCACTCTTCCACACCAGCGCGAGTGGTAGAGTGGAACTCCATCCACAGTGGGCTGGACAAACGAACGTGTCGTCTATGGAAGCAATGGGATCGAGGCCTCATTGAGGCTGTTCATATTACGAAAGAGTATGTAGAAGGAATTGCTGAGACTGATGTTGAACTTATACAACAGTGGGAAGAGATGGTAGGGCGAACTGCGGATACATGGGAAGCAATCTTAGGGGTCCCAGTGTTTTGGACCGAGGAGGAGTTTGATGAGCAACCTGCGGAAGAGGACCATGATGAGGAGATGGATTGGATCAGAGAACAATTTTTTTATTTTGTATGAATGATCGGCTCATGTGTGATGTTTTATTATTGTGTTTTTGCCTGGGAAAGCATAATGAGAGTATCAAGTTTTTAATGCCATATGTGAAAGTCGTGATTTGGTTATAATTGCATTGATTAATTTAGTATCAAATTTGATATACATGATATTTTGCGGGATTGCGAGGACCAATAAGGCACGTTTGGTCCTTAAGCCCACGGAGACTTAGCGAGAGTCTAAGAGTGACCTTAAGAGACTGTACGTAAAGCACTCCCCGCGGGAGAACCTGTACAGCTCACGGAAATTTTTCCCTACAAAAATTCCTCACTCTGAACTCATCAATCCGGCTAAGTCTTTATCTCGTGATAACCTCATCTAGTTGTGTTCATTTCAGTTTTTCAAAAAGTAAAGAAGACGACCTGCCAAGAAGAAGAACCCGCGCGCAAGAATGAACAACACAAACAACCCCAATAACGAAGATCTAGAGGCAAGACTAGCAAGAGCAGAGGAAAATGTAGCGCGGATGACAAGAGCGGCGGCGGCAGCGACTGGCACCCTCCCTGGACCAGCATTAGCCCCACCGAGTAGAGGAAACGGAAGCAAGAAGAACACGAACAAGAATGTTCCGACGGAAACAATCTTAGAGGAAGAAGACGAGGAACAAGACGAGGACGGTGAACCCATAGATTACGACCTCCTACTAGCCGGAGAGCTAATCGAATCAGATGATGAAGACGGCTCCTACCAACCCGAAGATCCGAAACCTAAACCAAAGGGGAAAGGGAAGGATAGAGCAAGTTCAGTCGAAGACGATCAGTCGTTGATAGGTAAGTTCTAAAATCACAGCAAGAATTTCTAGCAATCATGCAGTCTAGGAATACAATTCGCACCATCCTTCTCCCCTCTTGAACGCTGTCGGCACGGTACGACGAGTAAGACCGAAGGTCCGAAAGCGTGGTCGTTTCGGCGACGGCCAAGTTGGTTAAACCAACCTCTGGCGAGCTTAATTGCTGTGTCACGAAGTTGACGGCCAAGTCGGGAGACCACTGGCGGATTCAGTTATAGAATCGGCCGCATGAACGGCGGCCAAGTCAGGAGACCTCTGGTGGATTCGTATATAGAATCAGTCACATTAAGCGACAGCAACAAAGCCAAGAGCCAGATGCCACATACCTAAAGATGAAGAAACGTTCACTTACATGTACCCCCCCCTACTTGACTCACACAGCAGACGGAGACGCGATGGTACAGATGCAAGGCGAAATCACCGATCTGTTCGAAAGACAGGAGAATGCCAAAGCTTCGGCACTTCTAGCGTATTTCACCAATACCTTTCTGCGAGAACCTAAGGAAGGGGGAAGAAGGTCCATGTCCAGGAACCCGACCCCAGGCCCGAGCACCATACGCAACCCTATCCAACGTCCTCCAACGAGGGAGCAGCCACCAGAACCTAGGGAGAGAACTCCAGATTTGCTGAGCGACCGACAAGAGACCCCAGAGCGAATCCCGGTGTCAAGGAGAAGCCCCTACACGCTGATCCAGGAGAACCTGTCAGAACCAACCTCGGAGGTCCCTAACAAAGGCAGGACTCACGATACAAGAGCTCGACGCACTCACGACCCACCCCGTCATCCTGGCACCCCCTCCCCCAACCACGACTCTTCACCCACGAGGGGAGGTCCTCCAGGAAGGAGTAGATCAAAGACACCACCTCAACCACACCGTAACGATCCACCACAGGGGACGAGACGTGACTTGGAACCGGCGAGTTTAAATGAACAGGAATTGGTGGGAGGAGTCCAGACGAAATCAGAAGAAGAATTGGCGAAGTCGATGCTCGAATCAGGGAAGGGGAGGATGGTCTTGTCTAACGGAGACGTAATAGAAAATGGTAGACAAATTTTACAGAATGAATCAGAACAAATGGAGAAAATCCTAACTCCCCTATCGCAAGTTTTACAAGTGTGGATGAAAACTTTCAAAGCTTACATTCCGCTGACCGTTTTCAACAAGAGGTGGTTGCGAGAGGACCAAAAGGCATGGGAAGTGAAAGAACCCCAAACGGAGGCGAAAATCTTGAAAGGCGGATCGAATGTGAAGGCCTACGGCGGCAAACCCCCTCCCGACAAACTCTTGATGCAATTCGAAGATTGGCTCGACAGTATGAAACTGTTTGTCCGGTATGTGGAGGAAGCGGGCTGGATTACCCAAGCTGCTCGATTCAGGTCGCACATGAATGTAGTGATGGACCTCCGCGACAACATCGGTTGGATGGTGGCGTTACGCTACTGTATAAGGATTCGGCAAGGTGTGATGAGGGTCACTGTAGACCAGAAGATATGTAACATATCAAACGTTCAGTCACGGGTTTTAGAGGAAGTGAAGTTGGTATGCGAAAATATGGGGGAACGAGCTTACCAATCAAACCCCTATGCTCCCGGTGGCCCCAAAGACCACATCGACCCAGACTCCGGCCTACCGAGAACCCCATCGTCCAGATTCGCAGCGACCAACAAGAAGACAGCTACGACAGAGAACAACGCATACGACGCTGATCGTAAACCGAAACGAAAGTGGCTACCGGATGACGTATGGGAGGCGAAGAAGAAGGCGGAAAGAGCGGCAAGGAACGGGAAGAAAGACGACTGGGGAAAGGCAGCTGGCAGATACGCAGAGCGTGGAAACTGGAGAGATGATAAGAAACGCGACCGTAGCCGCAGTCGGAGCCGGGATAGAGGCCAAGGCTACAAGGCCGGAGGCGGGAGAGGAGGGAGAGGTCGATACTAGTGAGTATGACGCGGTCATTTGTACCTGTGTGAAAGAGATGTGAAATGATAAGACACAAGAAACTTCTCTATCACAAAAGAATGAGAAATCTCTCACCAAAAAAAAGCTCCCTTTGACCAACCGATTGTGCCAACTCGCCCAACCCCCCCCTTTTCCTCTCCCTCTTTCAATTGATTCCAAGGGGAGCGGAGCGAAATTCTAACATAGCTTGATTTCAATTTTTGCCCTCTCCAGTGAAAGACCAGTAAGTCTAGAGCCGTCCTCAGCCAGGCCAAGGTGGCCACTGAGAGTGAGATGCGAGATGAGAGTCGATAGATGGATAGAAGAACTGAAGGAAGCAGGTATCCTAGAACAAAATTGGAGCGTCATAGAGGGGTTTGAAAGGGGCTTCGACCAAGGCATCCCCGAAGTTCCTATCCAGGGGATGAAATATTACTGCCCCCCCAACCACTCGTCAGCGGCAGAGGCAAAAGACGAGATCGAGAAAAGTCTGAGAGAAGAAATCGCAGCCGGGAGGATGTATGGACCCTTCTCGAAGGACGAAGCTTACAAAGTGTTGGGTTTCTTCAGAACAAGCCCACTTGGAGCCGTAACAAACGGAGACGGATCTCTGAGACCAATCAACGATCTGTCTTTCCCACGGGGTGACTCTTTCATCAATTCCGTGAACGCACACGTAGATAAGGACGAATTCGTGACATCATGGGACGACTTCGAGGTGGTGGCAGCATTCTTCCTGTCGACAGAGGGCGAATTGCTGTTAGGGATATTTGACTGGGCAAAAGCCTACCGTCAAATACCAACACTTTTGTCACAGTGGCCGTTTTTGATGATCCTAGATTTCAACGAAAACGTGATTTTGGATACAAGGGTGACCTTCGGAGGGGTCGCAGGCTGCGGTGTCTTCGGGAGAGTGGCAGACGTGTGGAAACAGGTGGTGCTCGCGAAACTGGGATTCACAGCAGGTTTCCGCTGGGTAGACGACACGCTGTTTATCAAGGAAAACAACGGCAACAACACCGCAACAATGCAAGACGTGGCGAACTTGAGCAAGTCGATGGGAGTAGTCACGAACACGAAAAAATGGAGGGAGTTTAGCTTCACACAGAAGTATCTAGGATTCCTGTGGGACGGTAAAAATAAAACAGTCCGTATCCCAGAAGAGAAACGGACAGAACGAATATCGCAAATAGATGAGTTTTACCAGGCGAAGGCCGTTCGTTTCAAGCAAGTTGAGAAGCTAGCCGGGAGGCTGGCGCATGCAACTTTGGTGTATCCACAGCTGAAATGTTATTGTATGGCGATGTACAAGTGGATGGCGGAATGGGTTCATAAGTCAGCCCTATGTGACATACCGGACGAAGTGAGAGAGGACTTAAGAATGTGGAGACAAACCTTGATAGAAGCAGACCCAAGGAGACTTATCCCGCATAAGGGGATACGGAACGTAGCGTGGGTGGGGGACGCATCCACAAGCTACGGAATTGGGATTATAATAGGCAAAAAATGGGCACGATTCCGGTTAAGGCGAGGATGGAATCAGATGGACGAAAACGGAAACCGGAGGGAGATAGCATGGGCAGAGACCGCGGCCGCGCGCCTAGGACTGTTGATGCTTGCAACGCTGATGGACGTCCGAGGTTACGAATTTCTGATGCTGACGGATAATGTCGTGACAGAGGCGGCGATCAAGAACGGGAAGTCAAGGAACCCATTGGTAAATCGAGAGTGGATGGAAATCCAAAAGGAGCTGATGAGACTAGATTGCAGAATTAAGCAAAAGAGGGTTGTCTCAGAGGACAACGCAGCAGACAAGCTCTCAAGGGGCAAAGACTCATCTAAGGGGAAGCACGATGAAGTGCAAATCGACCTGCCAGTAGACTTAAGGCCCTTTTTGATACAAGAATGAAATGAGCTCATTCAAGCATTGAGCCTACCCTACTGAGCCACCGTGAGAAGTGACCACGCATGAAACACACCACCCTACAACTCTGATACGGAGATATGAGCGTGCAATCAAAGTGAGCCTGAAACAAAACGAGACGCGAGATACCTACAAACCATCCAAAAAACCATCAGCTCACATCACCTTCAAAATGAGCAAACTGCCCAAACATTTTGAGTCAGCAAAAGAACGCACCGGACCAGCAGGGAAACACGTAGCATTGAGTGGTTGGGCCGGTTCAACTCTGAGCGGATACTCGAGCGGTATGTCAAAATTTATCGAGTTCAAGAATAAAACTAAAGGAGGATTCGACGAAGAAAAACCGATCAGTGACGAAGACATCTACCATTTCATCGCATGGGCCGGAGAATCAAAAGCGGAAAAAGAAAACGGACCGAAGAAAGTGATAGCCGCGGTAACCATCAAAAAATACCTGGACGGAATACGGGCATGGCATATTGTGAAACATTTAGCCACACCCTCCGCTGACCGTGACGTTGTATCGACCTTGATAAATGCGACAAAGAGAAACGAAGAAGGAAAAGAGTTAGTGACAACCAAGCAGCCGATCATGATTAGACAACTCTTTCAACTGTTTAAAGAATCAATAGGAAAGTCGGACGAACTACAGTTAACGGCATCGGTGGCATTGATAGCCTTCTGGGGGATGGCAAGGCTAGGTGAGATCTTGAGGCAATCGAAGGCAGAAGGCGCGATCCTGAGGAAAAACGTCGAATTCGGAGAGAAGGGAGGCGTCCGATTCGCCAAACTATACCTTAGTAAAGCCAAGACGGCAGGCCCAGGCGAAGTCCAAGTGATTCATCTACAGCAGCAAAGGAACGTTTTGGACCCAGTCTCAGCACTAGAAAGGGTGTTACGTCTAAACGAAAGAGGTGATAGGGACGACTTACTTTTCGTCACGAAGGGACCTAGAGGCATAGTCCCGATGAAGAAACCTCGATTTGTAAAACTAGTGGAAGGGTGCTGGGGGAGATCAGGAGTGGAAAGCTGGTCTGGACACTCCTTTAGAGTGGGAGGAGCGTCGATTAGATATAATTTAGGGACCCCCGTAAAAATCATAGCAAAACAAGGTCGATGGAAGTCCCTAACTTATCTACGGTACTTCAAAGCATACTCAGAAGATGAGATAGAGGACACGATAAAGTTCTTAGAAGCAATCGAAGAATGAAATGGCATAATGTGAAATAAGAATTCAAGGTTTTAAAACAAAGATAACATAGAGTTCATGCGTCTGAAGGGAGACAACACAGAGAAACCTTAATTCCAATTAAGCGAACGCTTGTCATTCAACGAGGGGAGATAACATGGAGAAACCTTAATTCCAATTAGGTGCATGCTTGTCACTCAACGGAAACTTTAATTCCAATTAGGCGCATGCTGGTCACTCAGCAGAGATTTCGAGAGAAACCTAATTCCAATTCAGCGCATGCTGGTCATTAGTGGAAACCTTCATTACAAAGACCCTGTCGGTGTTAGGGGGTAGCTCCTGGAAGGCTAGGCACCGAAAGGCTCGGAGACCCAGTTGTAGGGGATCCAGGAGCTAAGAAGAAACCCCTCGATCACGGAGGGCGGGCGGGTAAGAAGGTGAGAGCCCGGCCAGAAGAACCCCCCATTGGTTCCGAAGAACCTTTTGGTTTTGCAGAACCAACGGGAGGCGGCCGGGCTCCGCCGCTACCGCAAAAGAACATCCTCTGACAATATGTAAGAGATGTTCCGGGCAATGGGTGCTAAAAGAGCAGCCAAACATTACATTGACCTGAGTTCAAAAGTGAGAGATACTACACTTTTGGAACTCAGGAGGCTCGTGAAAGGAACTCAACTCACAAGCTATATGAGGGTGCTGTGGCGCACAGAATGTTCGGCTGTAAGCCAAAGATAATGTATGCAGTATCAACGGATAATGTCCGAAAATTGGGCCGCAGATGAGCCCAGATGTGACAGATGACTCTGAGAAAAAATTTTGAAATAACTCCACAAGTTTTTATAAATCTAAGTGGTAAAATCATCAAATAAAACAACTTTTTTTGCATCATAAACATGCATTAGAATGTCTCTAGAGCTTGTGGGCCTATCTCACATCCCCAAAGTGCCTCTGCAGGTGTTAGGCAGCCCAAAAATCGAAATTTGACTCATCTGCCCACATCTGGCTCAGTCTCAGATTCATCTGTATGAATCTGAACCCGACTATTGTAAAGTCTTCAGATTCATCTGGCTACACAACCGTCACTAAAGCCGTAGCAGATTGATCTGGCTACTCATCAGGCAGATTCATCTGCTGCATTTACCCTCAACCACGACTCCATTCTAGGTGGTTGCACATGTGTACTATGACTCAACTTGGTAATCAAACACTGTATACCTGCTACAGCTTGACTCAACCCGTGTACATAACATAATGAGCTTTGATTCCAAGCCAATACATTGGGGGGGATCTCATCTGAGCTCATCTGAGCTTCATATCTACAAAACTCACTGGCTACACATACGGCTCTGATGATTCTGTAAAGAGCAATCCCATCTGGGCTCATCTGCCCTTCAAATACACAACACTCACTCGCTACACATCTGGCTCTGATTACTCTTCAAGGGCAGATCTCATCTGGGCTCATCTGCC